ATGAATAAATTCGTGAAAAAGTAATTGAAATTGATTGAAAACTAGTTAAAGTTGTTTACCAATGAATTTGGTAAGAAAATCCTCTTTAAAAATCGCCTCTAGAGAGTTTAGGGTTGAAAATAGTATAAAATGAGCTAAGTCCCAATTTTCTCCACTTTTACCCAGCTGCAGGTATCGTTCGCAATTGCGAACAACTGTCCCCAAATGCGAATAGTTGCCCAGCTCCTCAGAAGTTGCAAATGCGACAAAAACCCTCGCACATCTCCCTCCATCGCAAATGCGGTCAAAGATTTGCATTTGCGAACCTGACCAACCCAGCAACCTGTCGCAAAAGCGACATTTTGGCCCCAAAAGTGAAACATAACCATTCGCAAATGCAACAATTTCTTTGCATTTGCGGAGCATGCCTGCCCAGCCCATATTTCGAATTTGCGAGCCTGACATCACAAATGCGATGCTCGCAATTGCAATCAGGTCTTCGCAAATGCGAGACCTGCAACATCACACCAGTAACTGCTAGGCTTTAGTAGTTCCAAAATCAACCAAAACTCACCCGAAACTCACCCGAACCCCTCGGGCTCCAATACGAATATTCACACAAGCGTATTAACATCATACAAACTCGCTCGCTAACTCAAATCATCAAAATAACATCAAATATAAATAATCGATCATAAAAACTCAAAATTTCATCTTTGAAATTAATTTTTTCATTTTTTTCACGTAATATGCGAAAACGCGCTCGGGTCACTCGGGACCCCAACCAAACATGAGTACAAGCCCAAAAATATCATACGAACCCACTAGAATCGTCAAAACACCGATCCGAGGTTGTTTACCAAAAACGTTGACCATGTCATTTTTAAAGTCAAAAACAACAACAAAAACAAACTAGTATAATTCTACATAGTGGGTTCTGGGAAGAGTAGTCTGTGTGCAGCCTTATCCCTACCTTGTAGAAATATAGAGGTTGTTTTCAATAGACCGTTGACTCAATTCAAATTCTTACGAAATTCCTTTTTAAAGTCAAAAATCACATTTTCTTCAAACTTTTACATTTAATTTTTTGGAAATCCACACAACCACGACACGCAAATCATAAACTCCAAATATAGCTATGAAATGTCTTGGAACACAAAAAGAAATACTAGTACTCAAAACGATCGGTCGTTACACTCCAAACTAGCACAGATACCGGGTAACTCTAACCATCAACACATGCAGCTTGCGTGTTGATTAGGCTATGTGCATCACCAAATGTTTTGAATAAAAGGGCGATTCTTTAATGCCCATAACAGTATAGAGACAAATAAGGATGTTTTTCACCACTGGACATGGCTACTCTTTTTAAGAGGAGCAAGCAAGTTCGAAGTACTGCAACCATATACAACAAGCTAATGAACAGATATATCATACAAATGTAACGATCCGACCAGTCATTTTGAGCATTTGAACTTCGCTCGGTAGTTTGAGGGCATGAGTAACTCCGTATGATGTATTATGACTTGTGTGAATTGTCGGTTTTAATTTTCAGGTGATCCGGAAGGGATTGGAAGAATGAATTTCATGTTTGGAGCTTTAAGTAGGAAGAGTTGACTAAGTTTCACTTTTGTGAATTTGACCTCGGAACGGAGTTTTAATGGTTCCATTAGGTTTGTATGGTGACTTTGGACTCGGAAAAATGCCCGGATTTGCATTTGGATATTCCTAGAAGGATTCGGCACTAATTGGCGAAAAATAAAAATTTGAAGAATTGGAAAGTTCATAAGTTTCACCGAGAGTTGACTTTGTAGATATCGGATTCGGATTGTAGTTTTAGGAATTGGAATAGCTTCCTTATGTCATTCGGGACTTGTGTGCAAAATTTGGATTCATTCCGTGTTGATTTGATATGTTTCGGCACGAGTTTTGGAGATTTCAAGCTCAGAGTTCATTTTAAAGTTTGATATGAGGTGCGATTCATCGTTTAGATGTTATTATGTATGATTTGAGGCCTCGTATAAGTCTGTGTTATGTTATGAGACTTGTTGGAGTGTTAGGACGTGGTTCCGAGGGGCTCGGGCGTGTTCCAGACTGATTTCGGATCATTTATCTTCATGTTTTCAATGCTGGTGTGTTCTAGTTTCTGGTGCCTCGATTGGTTTTCGCAATCGCGAAGAGTTGTGTGCGATCGCGTAGAGGAAATCTGGAGCTGGGCATTTTCTTCATCGCAGTCGCGATTGGTTAGCCGCGTTCGCGTAGAGTGGGAATGGTCTGTATCTACGCGTTCGCGTAGTTCTTGGGACTGGACTAGGCAGTGTTGGTCATCTCTTAGCGTTCGAGAGGTTGCTTCCGCGAACACGTAGTTCTGTCAGTTGGGTGTACCACGATTGCGAGTCTTCGAATGCGATCACATAAGGCATTTTTCAGGAGTAGTGCTTTTCTACTTCGCAATCGCGAGGATGTTTCCGCGATCGCGATTCATTAATTCGCCCAGTGGTTATAAAGTACTCTATTTCGGAGGTTTCAGCCATTTTTACAAATTTGGAGCTAGGGAGCTCGGATTAAGACGATTCTTAAAGCAATATTTCACCATGTGGATTGGGGTAAGTGTTCTCTACTCATTTTTGATTTTATATCATGAATCTATCTTCGTTTTCGGCATTTGATTGAGGGTTCCAAAAGAGAAAATTGGGGGGTTTGTGACTAAAGTTTCATAGAGCGAATTCTTGAGTTTTGAACATCGATTCGAAGTCGGATTTGAGTGAAACTAGCATGGTTGGACTCGTAATTGAATGAGTTGTCGAATTTTGTGAGTTTTGTCGGGTTCCGAGGCGTGGGCCCGGGTTAGAATTTTGGGTTTTTGATTAAGGATTCGACTTTTATCGATTGAGTTTATTTCCTTTGGTATTGTTTAATGTGTTTGAGTTGCTTTTGGCTAGTTTCGAGCCGTTCGGAGGTCGGTACGCACTGGATGACATTTTTGCAGCATTGTATGGCTTGCTCGGTATTGGATTTGGCTTGCTCGAGGTAAGTAACACTTCTAAATTAGGTGCTGAGGGTATGAAACCCTGAATTAAGTGCTATGTGATTGATGTTAAGGACATGCGGGCGTATGGGCGTGCACCGCGTGAATTGTAATTTAGTCGATTCCATGAAATTGTGTAGCAATTTTATCAGAACATTTTTATTGTACTCTATATGTTAGAGCACTTGAGTTGTAATTCATGCTAGAAATCATGTTTAGGTTAAATGATGGTACAATTGGGACCTACAGTGGTCGCTCTTTGCTGTTGAGTTATTTGCTTAATTGCAGTTATGTGCTCAGTCGCATTCATCATTTCATATCATATCTTAGTCTTTGTTATCGTATATTGTCACATCTCATATCATTGATTTGGGCTGCTTAGCATGATTGTTGTGAACCCGAGAGACTGGAGAGATTGATGACTGAGTGAGGCCGAGGGCCTGGTGTGAGTGATATTTATGGGATCGTGATGTATGCCGCAACATGCTTTATTGATTCATGCCAGGATTTGGCTTATTATAGCGCTTGGGCTGGATCGACCCCTCCGGAGTCTGCACACCCACAGTGGGTACAATTGCTATCAATCATTTGTATTGGGCTGGATCTGCCCTGGTTCATTTGCATTGGGCTGGATCTGCCATAGTTTATTTGCATTTCGGTTCATTTGCATTGGGCTGGATCTGTCCTGGTTTATTTGCATCTTTGGGCTGGATCTGCCCTGTACAGTACTGAGTGACTGAGTGTGCTGAGTATTGAGCATGATGAGTGAGAATACGAGACAGTGAGATGGAGTACTCTGAGAGGGTGAGTACATGAGTTCATCATTGAGATGCATTATATTTGACATGCGTACTTAAGATACGTGCATAGAGATGCATTTCCTTCTGTTATCCGGCTTTGGTGGCATTCATGATTTCACCTGTATATTGACATGTCGGCATAGAGATGTATTTTCCTCATGCTATCTGAAAATAAAACATCTTATTTATTATTGAAAGGTTTTTGGGAAAAATCACGATTTTCAAACTTATTCATATGCCTTTGGTGCTTTCGGTGAAAGATTTGGGATTTACTCTTATACTTGAAAAGCATACCTATCTTTTCGTAACTGTGAACGAGTTGAGCATCTTATCTCTGAATTATTTTCATGTACCATTTTATTATTATTGTTATGATTGTTGCTGGTTATTGAAGTTTGGACTCTGACCATTGTCCCAGCTCGTCACTACTTTCAACCTAAGGTTATGTTTGTTACTTATTGAGTACATGGAGTCGGTTGTATTCATATTACACTTCTGCACCTTACGTGCAGATGTTGGATATTGATGTTGCAGTGCACGACGGGAGCTGGATCTGAAGATGTACCTGCGTTTCGGTCATAGCTGCCTCTTGATCTTAGTAGATTTAGAGTTTTAATCTGTTCCTGTATAGTTCAAACAGATAATGTACTTTAATTCATACCAATTCATATCATCTTTGTAAATTCTAAATCTTAGAAGCTCGTGATTTGTACTACCAGTCCTTGGGGAGTTGTATAAAATTCAGTTATCTCATCTTTAGTTTACATCAGTGTTATTTTATTATGTTATTTTGTTAATTGACTTACCTAGCGGGTTGGATTAGGTTCCATCACCACGGTTTGGATTTTGGGTCGTGACAACAACTTAAAATTCAGTAGATAGAATAATAATGTAATCATTGCAGAAGAAGATTATGGTCTATTCTGTAACAATTTTCAAAACAAGCTGATGAGCATCATAGCAGTGATGAAATTCCACATACAACCAAATTACAACTATTTGACAGTAGTACAATAATGTGAAAGTAGAACATGAGTTTTAAATATGAATTAGAGGACTCATCCAATTATTTGCTGGTAATCAAAAAGTTATATAACTGGAACAAAGGCTCTTTGTCACTGTCAACTCCATCAAACACCGATGAGGATGCAACAATCTACAGAGGCATTCAGTTCTAATACGAAGCACTTAGATGCAAGATCCAATAATTATGCCGTTTAGGCTATTTACCAAATTATTCAGCATGAAATATTCTTTAGCAGTTAACAAGTGAAGCACGAATGTTTTGAACATTCCTAGGCACAAGCTCTCCTATTATTACAAAGTAAAAACTATTTCTTTGATAAAAAAGATGTACCTAAGAAATCACCCCAGCACCGAAACATCTTTCGATTAACAGTTGCTCCAGAAAAATATAAATTTGTGGCAGAATTTGAAGTAAGGTTTAGCTCCGATTTTGTGCATCTCGAGTGAATCAGCTGAGTCTTTCACGTTGAGCAGCAGAAGTATGGGCCTCCTCAATATGTCTGGTAAGCAACGATATTCCGTAATGTGATGCACTTGAAGCAGCATAATATGAAGTCACCGTAAGTTGAGTAAACTTCGGAAGTGCATATCCTGTAATGCACGATTACACATTAATCTGGTCAATTACAAATTAAAAATCAATAAATAAGATAATCAGCAAGGAAAAAGCTCTTTGATTATTGTAAATGTTATTGAATCTTCGCGTCCTTGACTGTGTCTGGCATGACTCTATTGTTCGTCCTAACCATGCCTCTTTTACTCGAGTGCTCTATATTACTTACAGCACCAAAAAGATCCTAATAGCAGGAAATATTTCACATCAAGTGATGCTGAGTAAATATCAAAAGGTTTGAAGACGACAATTAACCTTAGCATAACAGAAAGGTTGCTCAACTATGATCTGAATGCATGAATTCTGTCTACTAGTTCACTTTGATATTGAGCTGTAGGGCAAAGAAACGGTGCTTTAATCTATTGTTTACATGGTTTCAAACGTCCTTGTCAACCACTTGGCCACAGAACTTACAATTGCGATGCAGCTTTTTCTTCTCTCAAAGAATTATTTCAGTTGAGCTTTGTATGCTTTTCCGTTTCTTTTAAATATCCCACTTTTACTTGACATAGGTACTAAGATAACATGATGAAAAAGGCATAAAAATTAATGTAATACAAGGAAGTTCAGAATTTCTATAGCACTATACAAAGTTTGTAGCTGCATGTATGCTGAAACCAAATATCTGTTACTCCCACAATCCAATTCACAGTAACTTGAATATCTTTTGAGTGTGAAAGCGAGTACATGTTACCTTTTTATCATAAGATATGGAAAAGAATAATATATAGGAAAAAGCTTCCCCTCTAGAAAAGAGAACGTGGGACAATCCATAATAAAAGTAAGATAGTTATTTTTGAAGAAAAGGTGCAATTAGGACTTCATTTATCATAATAAGATTTTTTTTTATTTATTTTTATCATACTAAACTTTTTTTCACATAAAACTAAGACTTCACGTAAAATTTTAATTGCCTAATTTTAGATAAAACCTCCTTAATAGCTTGGTAGATGTCTTTGTAGAAGGGGGTGACATATGAATCAGATCCGTCAATGGGATCACTTTTACTTTTCATCAGCCTGGCTTTCATGTGTTATATGATGCCAATGAAGCAAGTCCATTTATAGTAAGAAATTTCATGCAGGGTGAATCTTGGATCCCAGCAAGTGGAGTGCCATATTTGGCTGCCAAATAATATATGTATTTGTCAATAGACTGAACATTAATGTGTAGGCTATCAAATTGGCAAAATAAATCCTACTTTGACCGTTCAAAGTTTATCCAACTATATCAAAGTGGGATTTCTAAGATTGTTCTTCTCTTCTCCTCTTGCTTTTTGCATCCATCTTATGTATCTCCATCCGATCTCTCCTAATTCGCTAAATTCTCAAGTAAAATGGAAAGTGGAGAAGAAAAACCAAGTGACAAATTCTATTAGATATGAATGTTATGAGTTTTGTAAAATTCTAGACAAGCCTCAATATTAGCAGCACATTAACTATGTTCTTGTCAAGTTTAAGGAACCAAATTGATTCTACTCAACGTATTGCAAGAAACAGATCAAGCACGTCTTCGTGATTAAAGCATTCTTTTAGCGATGTTCATTCTAAAAGTTTATAACAGTTTATTAAGAAGTAAAGTAACTATAGCAGGGATTTAAAATATCACCAACAATTTCAGATTCCACAAAGGGCAGATGAAAGATTTATTTTTGCTAGATTATTCACAAACACCCAAGGGATAAAGTAATAATCCAATTATACTAAGATAGAGAAAAGAAAACTTCAGCAGAGACACCCAATATACATCCTAGCAACCCCATGATTGACATTTTTTTTTAATATTTAACACCCCCATGCTTGACATTAGCCTTCAAATTACCAACTTTTAAGCAACAGTGAATAAGGAAGTATTGCTGCTTACTGTTACTTATTTAAGAGAAAACAGAAAATGTAAAGCTGCTGAGTATCATAGCAACTTTTTCATTATAGAATAACACATACAAAATGGAAAGAACAAAGCTTAAAATGTAATTATAACTTCAGAAAATCACCTCCAACTGCCGCAATTGCTGAAGAGAACATGAGAAGTGGAGGAAGCTGCAATAGCAAAACCATTGAAGAAAAGGGTAAACAGAAAATGTGAGAGGAAGGGAGCTGTAAATAACATGCCAATTGTAGTCCGCTATAGATAGTCAGAGAAAAGAACAAATCAAGAATACAATGAAAATCAGGGAGACTACAAGAGAAGTGTTAAGGAACAGAAAAGCGGTGTAAATGCCTACCCCTATAACAAATGGAAGCCACTTTGGTCCCTTCACATGTCTCTGGACGAAAGGGATACCTGAAGAGATACTTGCATTAAAGACTTCAGCCATGAATTCTTAAGATAAAACTTAGAAGAGAAGGAAATATTTAGTTTAAGATTTCAACCATGATTTAATAGAAAGAGAGAACAAAATAAAGATAAAAAAGGTAAGCACAGAAGCCATAATACATCAATCATGCCTGTATTGAAACCATGAATTGCACTGAGCAGTCCACCAATTCCAGAGCCAGCCTAATCAAAGGTAAAGTATTACTTTAATTAACAGGTAAAAGCTCTTCATATTATGATTGCTCTATATCTCTATTTCGCTCAGGGGTTTAGTAGCCTTGTCCAACTGGTTATAAAACTTTTGATTAGTAAAACGAGGGCTATTATTCCAGCCTTAGGTATAAGTTTACACTTCGTGAGGAATCCCATATAGAGTGTCGACTGTTAACAAAGTAATTCGTGACTTCTTTCAGATTTTGGGTGGAAAACGTTCCAAAATGAAACTCATCCCACGGGTTACAATAGCAACTTTCCGCTGCATTGAATCAACTGAATTCCAAGTTACTATGAAAAAGATCTTTAAATATACAAAACATCCATATAACATTAAGAGCTCTTGAGACTCAAAAACATTTTTATCCAATTCACCTCTTTGGGAGGACTTTCTTAGAGTTTTTGGAAAACTTGATGGACTCCTAAAAGGTGATTTTCAAGTTTTCCAGAGAAAAAACTGAAAAACAAAATTCAAAGTTCTTTTTTAATGTTAAAAAGGTAACTTTTTTCTTTGCAAACACTATCAAACGAACACAACTGATCAAAACTTGAAAAAGGTGTTGGCGCAAAAGTTTTTTGAGGGTCAAACATTCTTTCATACTCCTCTATTTCATTTTATATGACACAAATTACTATTTACAGAGTCAAACATTCTTCCATTGACTAAAATTTGTTTCATACATTTTCAAATATGTTTAATTATGAAAATTGTGACTTCTAATACTTATGTAACTTTTATTATAACAAAATCTTAGATATTTGATCTTGTAGTTCAAATACCATCATTCTTTGTCGAAGCAGAGAAAATATGAAAGACATAGCGGATACTTACCACAGCCGTGACATCGTGCAGTACAGGAGTAATCGCCCATTCTCCACTTTTCTGAACCCAAATCAAACAGAAACAGCTCGAATTACTAGCTAGGCATTTCATCAAACATGTAATAGGCAAGATGTAATACAATTACAGGTACACAACAATGAGTAAAACATGTTACGTACCGAAGTGGGGTTCAAGAGAGAAAGACAACGAGGGCATCGAGCAGAGCCGAGGCCAGGTTTGATTGTAGGATCATAATCGAGATTTCCTCTCTTCAGCTTTTCTTCGTATACCTCTCGTGTTCCCATATTCCACTTAGAAGCTTTTCAACATTTTAGTTCCCTTTTCAGCTGTTGCTCTTTTCTTGAACATGGGTTCGATGTATGATGGTTTGAGGTTGGGCCGGAAATGGATAATGGGCCTGGACTTTGAGCTTTCTGACCCATTTTTACACGGATAATCTTGTATTTAATAATATTTTTATTAATAACATTATTTTTTGTTTATTCCATTAATAGCCTTTTTTACAAGTATAGCAGGTTTTAAATTTTATGCGTAGATTAAGCAATAAACGGACTCCACAAATTGCGGGATTAGTATCTCACTTTTAAGGAATATGTTTCGATTCCTCACTGGATTCTCTCAAAGATACCCCCTCCCACCACTCCCTCTTTTCTATATATCATCATTCTCGAAGGAGTCTTCCCCTCTTTTATAAACTTTCCTAGTATATATATATTGTGTATTTTTGCATTATTAGATTTGGTACTTTTGACTTATATCATATGTATTTTAAATTGATATATTTTAATTCACATTTAAATACACCTTATATCATTATTATACATTGTATAAAAATTATTTCACTATTATACTATTTATATGACATGCATTTTAAACTTATATAATATGTATTTTAAATTTATATATTTTGATTCACATTTTAAATACACATTATATCATTATTATACATTGTATAAAAATTATTCCATTATTATGCAATTTCTTTGACATGCATTTTAAGTTTATATCTCCTTAAAATCACATTTAAATACACATTATACCATGTATATAAGTAAACACAATCATTTAGATATGCAACAACGAATAATGCATATAAATTGAGACAACTATTACATACGTATAATAATAAATTAAAATCGTTAATTTGCGCAAACATATAAAAGAGGCAACTAGATGGGATCTGGTCCCTTTTAATGAATATTTATTAAATAGGAAAGGTTTGATGTGTTGGGTGAGAGAGATTTGCGGATACCGTTTCTTGCTTGTTGCTAATTTTGTAACTATTTTGCTGCTCCTTTTGTTTATTAAGTAATTGTGCTAGGCATGTCTATTTAATTCTTAAATATTGCCCACTTATGAAACTGTCTCAAAATTATGGGTGGATTTGCAGTCGTACCTTATATTTGTGCAACCTTTAACCATGTACCCTATTTTTAAAAATTATTGATTTCATAGCCAGCTGACAAAAAATTCGTAATAATATAAAAATTATACCCCTGACAAAAGATATAAAAGTTGTATCACGCATTAATCGCGTGATCTACAACCTCATTCGTGAATAAAGATCTCCTTCATCAATCCGTCCCTCCTCAATCCTGGTTGAAGATCTCCTCTCCTCTCAGCAGCTTTATCAAAAAACCAGAAACTTGAACCAAATTCATATTCCGAATTCAAAATTATAAAATACATTGTAAGGATTGCAATTCATCTTCAGAATTCGAATTAGTTTGTGAAACTGATTGATCTTCATGATATATGTTTCAGCAATTATTTTCGTAATTCGTCATGCTTTTTAAGTTTTAAACTTAAAAAATAAAATCTGAATTCAATTAACGCCTATAGATATTTTTACTTATGCTCATTTAATCACACTTGCATGAAGTTGTTTGACGGATATAGCATGAAATTTTCACTTGTAGATCTTCAAAAAAATTTTAAAACTTCAAATTTAATGCATGAAAGATATAGAATAAAGTTGTTTCACGTTGAAGTCTGAAGTTTTAATCAAATACAAGCTAAAACTTCATGCTAATGTAGCATGAAGTTTTTTCACGTTAAAGCTAAAACTTCAAGCTAATGTAGCATGAAGTTGTTTCACTTTGAAGCTAAAACTCCATGCTAATGGATGTTGAAGTTATTTAGTTCATTTGATAAAACTTCATATCAACACTTGCTGAAGTTTTGTCAAGAAGTCTATAGTATGCTGAAGTTTTTTAGTTTATTTACTAAAACTTCAGACTAAATATGCTTCAGTTTTTGTTCTGCAGTATGTAATTTTCTAAAGAATTTTTTGCTAATGCATGCTAAAGTTATTTAGTTCATTTGCTAAAACTTTATACTAAAACATGCCGAAGTTTTGTCCTGCAATCTATAGTTTTGTCATGAGTTTTATCCGAAACTTCAGTCTAAACAAGATGAAGTTTTTTAGTTCGTTTGCTAAAACTTCACGATAAACATGGTTAAGTTTTTGTCCTGCAGTATGTAATTTGCTAATGATTTTTTGCGAATACATGCTGAAGTTATTTAATACATTTGTGTCACAACCCAATTTCCCCTCCGTTTGGGTATCGTGATGGCACCTAGTCTTAAGGACTAGGTAAGCCTAACAATAATTAGAACAACATCATTATTTAAATAGAATCTCTTATAGTTCCCAAAATCGGTAGTACAAGTCATAAGCTCTATAGAGTGTCTGCTAGAAAATTTTTAAATACAACTGTCCAGAAATAAGAATAAACAGTGCAAAATGAAAAGTTGAAGGTGACTCCAAAGCCCGCGAATGCAGCGGCAGGCTTACCTTGAGTCTCCGCAACAACAGTCCACACAGCTAACTAATGAACAATTACCTGGATCTATACAAAACAATATGCAGAAGAGTAGTATGAGCACACCACAGCGGTGCCCAGTAAGTATCAAGACTAACCTCGGTGAAGTAGTGACGAGGACTAGTCAAGACACCCACTGGTCTAATAAACTAAACAAGCATAAGTATAGGGATGACAGAACATGACATCTATCTAAGGACTCCACGATATGGCTAATGACATAGAAACTGCAATAAGGAAGGAAAAACATGAATTAACAGCGGAACACCAGAATAAGACACAAAAGAATGAACGAAAACACAACCTAAATCCAGAAATCACAATACAGCAAAGGCAAGTAGTAACTCAGCAGCTGCAATAGTTTTCACATCAGGTCTCACCAAACAACCCCAATAAATTAGTCAAATCCTTCAAGTGAAAAATCTCACCCGTAAGTTTTTTTTTTAAATTGAGGTCTTTAGAATATAATCCTTTCCAATAAGAAATTATTTTTGAAATATACTTCATTCAAATAAATATCTTTCAAACATAGTTCTTTCAAGATAAAATCTTTCAAATATAAACTCTTCAAGTAATATCCTTCGAGTATAAGTCACCCTGTGACACCTAAGCACGGAAGATTAGCAGCTCCGAATATAGATATAACCACAGGGGAAATCTATCGGGATACCGTCCCGTAGTCCCGAATTAATTATGCAAGATAGAGGGATCTCCCGGAATACGTCTGTAGTCCCAATTTAAATATGCAGTGCTGGGGGATCTCCCGGATTACGTCCATAGTCCCAATTTAAATATGCAGTGCTGGAGATCTCCCGGAATATGTTTGTAATCCCAAAATAAATATGCAGTGCTGGGGGATCTCTCAGAATACGTCCGTAGTCCTAAAGTAAATATTCAAGATAGGGGGGTCTCCCGGAATACTTCTGTAGTCCCAATTTAAATATGCAGTGCTGGGGGATCTCCCGGAATACGTCTGTAGTCCCAATTTAAATATGCAGTGCTGGGGGATCTCCCGGAATACGTCTGTAGTCCCAATTTAAATATGCAGTGCTGACAATAGAGATAACAACTATAACACGACAGAAACCTTGTACATCACCACAATGTGTACAAAAGCAACAATGACAGAAATGCAAGGTACGACGAGCAAATCAACTCAAGAATTTAAATCACAAGAATGGTAGAACTCATTCACAAGGAATAACCACAGTAAAGAATGATAGGCACAAGGAGAACAACTTAACAAGGGAAAACAAAACAAAAATGTAGCAACAATTCCACAATATTCAAGTCAACAATAAGAAGCCAACACGAGTTAAATAGTTCCAAATAATGGCAATTCAACTAAGATATATGTTATCTAAACTCATTTTGAGGTTGAGCAATTACGAGGAAAATTCAACAATTCAAGTAAGGATAAGCGGCGAAAGATAATCATAACTCCAATTAAGACTAAACAATTATAGGATAAGAAAATAATGATTTTAATTAAAGATATGCAGTTATGAAAAATATAGCACGGGGATAGAAGAGGTAAAATCTTTGGTTAAGTCGAATAAGGGTCAAATAGACAATTAGAGTGAATCCTAAAGCAATTATCTCTAATTAAAGCATGTAGAGGTAAAACTAGCAAATAGGAATTCAAACGTATCAAAAACAACATCATACACAGTGAATATAAGGACATAAGAACCCTAAAAGGCCAACTTTCCACAAATAAGTCAGAGCACGCACTCGTCACCTCGCGTACATAGACTATAATCAACATAGATGACTCAAATTCTAAGGGGTAGTTTTCCCACACAAGGTTAGGCAAGATACTTACCTCGAGTCAAGCTCAATCAATCTGTAAGAATGCCCTTTCCACGAATATCCGGCTCTGAATGGCCCATATCTAGCCAAAAGCAATTACATATCATATTTATAATCATAATACACTCATCTAATTAATTAAATCAATACTTTAATAAAAAATTTGAAATTCGCCCTAAAAGGTCGACACGGGCCCACATCTCGAAATCGGATAAAAGTCATAAAATATGAAAGCTCATTCACTCACGAGTCTAACCATATCGAATTTACTAAAATCCGATACCAAAATCTCGATCAAAACCCCAAAATTCGGCCTAAGAACTTTTCTCAATTTTTTCACCCCAAATCCGAATTTAGACGAAGAATTCTAGCATAGATTAGTGGAATATAACCATAAGGGAGTTAAGAATCATTACCCAAAAACTTCCTCCGAAAATCTCTCCAAATTCCGCATTCTACCGAGCTCTCAATCAAATTTGTGAAGTGAACTTCAAACCTTCAAATTTGCCCTTTTTCTGCCCAGTTATTCCGCATCTGCGGACCTTGGGTCGCACCTGCGATGCCACACCTACGGAATTTTCTTCGCAGGTGCAGAAACGACTTAAGAGGGCTGGGTCCGCTTCTGCAAAAAAAGGGCTGCACCTGCGAGTGTGCGCCTGCGGACTATTGTCCGCTTCTGCGATCTCCTCCGCGCCTGCGT